GGGCGTATTTTGAGAACCTTTTGCACTCTAAATCGATGAGTAGTTGTTAAAATTAGGCGTTGTAATTGACCGACGAACTTGGTTCGGCGTTGAAGTTCGCTAGCACAATGTCAACCTCAATGCGGCTCCTCTTCGGCGTTAACTCGTTGGAATCGCTACATGCAGTCCTCCAACGTGTACCTTGAAGAGCTTCATTGTCTGGTTTGCCACATAGAGCGCGTATTTCTGATTCTATGTTGTTTGCTTGTTGTTTTCTTGTTGTTTGCCTGTTGATCTATGACTAATCTTCGTTTTTTCAATAGTTGACGACAAGACTTGCAAATAAACTTCCTCTGTCGGTAAGCAATCGAGAGGCTTTCCAACTCACATTTTACATCGACTTTAGCTTTTCCGTCCTAAGTCCTAAGTCCTTCCGAGAACACAAAACACAGATTATTTCCATATATAAGAGAACAATCATCGATAAAAAACTATTTACTCGAGTTCTAGCTAGGTGAGAGGTGAGAAACACGTGGAACGACTCAAAACAAACATCATGACACTTGAGTAGACCTGGATCCGAGATATATGACCAATCAGATGGCACGTAAGAATGGGCCAATCACAGCGCGTACTCAAATCGGCGTACACTCTCACACAAGAAATCGTGCGCTGTTTCTCAGACGGAGTGTAGAATAAACGGTGGCTGAACTCAGGCTACCCATCATTTTAATAAACCAATTATCAAACAATGTGTCGTTACGCATTTCCCCACCATTTGTTCCTCAGAATTTATAAACATACTGCTCATCATTTCTCAATCAATGGAGCCTCTTAAGTCAAAGTAAGGATGCAGAGTAATACCCTTATCAGCGTCTATTGTAGTGAAGCGTAACACAAGCCTGAATATAATCTACAAGAGCATGGTCTTGTGAGTCGTTGAAAGTGGAGTTAATTAGTGAGAATACTTTTTCTGCAGCAGCAGACGAGGATTGTACTAGGAGAACCTTCATGACTGCAGACGACCACTATGGCAATCGATCTGAGGGTTGTTGCCAGCACTTCCCTTTGTCTTCTTCGCAGGTCATTGTGACGTTATGGGCCACAGCAGCATAGTTAGGACGTTCCTTGATTAAGCCAATTATTGCATTGTTACTGTCCAAAAACGGAAATAATCGTAGGCCTTGTACAGTTGCTGGCGTCGGTCGCAACCGTTGCACAGCTTCCGGGCATATTATTCTAGCAGCCTTGAATGCGCTCAACGTGTTGTACAAATCTACATTGAATTTTTGCAAAAACCACTGACTTCCAGGCTCGATATTCCTTTTGGCTTCCGGTTCCAGCGCTGCAACATTTTTTTGTGGGATCTCCAGTCGCTGTAGCGACAGCTACTGCGTGGAAATTTTGGAAATGTGGCACCTGACATGCATTCGCATTCGGTTTTAATCTCTCGAAGCACGAGAAGACTAGTGGGCCATCTCCCCCTTTGGCTTTGACGAACGGTTCACCCACATCAACGATGGCTGCTAGCAAAAGCTTAAGGCGCACAACTTTATCTGGATCAGACAAGAAGTCGACCATTCGACGTAAAATTTGGGGAGCAATATTTTGTCTTTCAGCAATAGCAAAGAATTCTTGTAAGTCACCAAACTTCCACCACCAAGGAACGACTCTCGGAGTAACTCTTTGACTCAAGTCCAGTCTGTTCCTACCAAATAAGCCTCGCCTTGTGGCTCTGCCCAAATAGGCGGATCCTCAGATTACCAAATTCACTTAAGTTCAGGATAACAAAGTGATTGCCGGCACTATCCAGAGTATGAGAAAAGCAAGCCACATTGAATGTCTTAGGGAATATGAACTGGATGCAATTTAAGGCTGATTGGTTTACTCTAGCGTCGTCTCTCATGGCCGCTATCAATGAGTATGCTCTCACACCATAGTTAACAGATAACCATTCGTTGAGAACTTGGGCAAGCTCGTCGCCCTTTACTGATTTGGCACAAACATCAACTCTCATCAGTCCTTGCACAATACACCAATAATCGTTGACAAAACGGACCACGATCACGATCGCCTCTCCCTGTCTCGTGCCTCCATCAAAGGTAATGGAAAGATCCCTTGTAAATTCCGCGCCACTGCCATCAGATCATTGGTTCTCGGCGAATTTCTACTTTGATCCTCCCTATCTCTTGCTTGTGTATCATTGGAATGTACTCCTTCATGTTAGAATGATGACTAAGACAATAGCCTTACTTTTCAAGGAGCGGTCGGAGTTTTTCTATCTTTTGTTAAGAGATTCCAGCTTTGAGAAACTCCTTTACCACCTGTTAACGGTATGCTCTCTCCTCGACTTGCAACATGCAGTCCTTGCCCTGTGTAGTCTTGTCTAAGCGCCTCCGTGATAGTTTGATCTCGCTTCGCGGTGTTTTTCATATTCGCCCTGCTTGAGTCGTGCTTTCTCAGTGGAGGCAACATGACTTCGAAGTACGCTCTTATTTTACTATATGCTCTTATTTTATTATACGCTCTCATATTTTACTATATGCTCTTATTTTATTATACGCTCTCTCCTTTCAAGCGTCACAAAACAGTTTACTCTTTGGAAGACACAGATCGCTAAGACTACTGGTTTTTGGATCTGATTTATCTCTTTCGCTATATTTTCCTTTAGTCGAATTCAATACACACTCCCCAGAGACTGGGGCTCTTTTTACGACATTGCCTGAAGAATTAGAAGTGTTCGACGAAGAGGACGTCATCTTTTATCTTGGATCTCAGTCAACTCATTAGCGAGTCGTACGAGAGGGCCGGAAACCAAGAAACTTTACAACGACCGCAGTGAATCCACTGTAGGCCCAATTCCTTATTAGTAGCAAACATTCTCGAAACATAATTCAGCCAAGAGAAGTGTATTCAAAACAAAATTACGAAAGTTGTTCACATCGTGGAAGTAAAAAAGCAGATTACGCCAGCAGTGCTTTTCTTGGAAAAAAGTTAAAAATTATGCTCGTTTTCCCAAATTATTCTGAAAATTATGCTGACAGAATCGACTCGAGCCCAAGTATCCGAAACAAAGTTGCTACTTGATGCTGAATTACGGGAATACTTCTTGGGGCTTACCAGGCTCGAGCCCCATAGGCTTTCAACTTTAAGTTTTTTTCCAAAGCTGTTCAGTTTACAATAATATTTCCTTTCACTGGTCTAAGCATAACGATTTTGATTTGCAACACATCAGGACACAAATGACTTGACCAAGACGAAAACAATATTCGGAGGCTTCTCTTGATCCATCTTTAACTTTAAACAAATGACAGTAGACATACTAAAAGCCGAAAACACTGCAGAACCCATGGCCAGTGCAGATTATGAATTCGAAGAATGCAAGTGAAGGATGCTACTGTACGTACGTCGTACAAAGGGCAAGTTATTCTTGCAGTTGCACCGAGCGGTTCATCCTGTACGAGCTTCAGTCAGGCAAATCATATCACCCAGTACTTACAAGGTTAACCTGAGCTAGGTTCCTAATCTATCATAAATCAAAGAAACTGAATCGAAATAAAGCATGCTTAGTTACTTTGGTCATCTTTGATTCCAAAAACCAGATACATTCCAAAAAATATGGGAGCGAAAATAAGTAGACCTTCTTTCTATTTGTTTTTATGTTTGTTTGTCGTTGTTGATGTTTTTTCGTTTGGGTGTCATCGGGTTGGAAAACCCAGCCATCATTTAACTGGAGCCAGAAAAATCCAGGCTTGCCTTTTCGGAAAAGACCACTTGGACTGATAAGATAGTATAGGTCTGATAAATCGCCTGAAGCTTGCACAGGACACCACATTTTATAGATTAACATCTGTTAATCAGGAGTGTCTGTCTGGTTTTTCCTTCACCTAACCACGATTTTACTTTATTTGTGGGTCTACAAAAGCCTGTCATCTCTGCTTTGTTTCGGTAGTGGTAGTTAGTTAGCTGTGGCAGAAGCACTGCATCCAGTGTATACTTTGATCTTTTGACTTCGTAAGCTTATGGCACTGATGAATTCCCTTAACCCCTTCCTCGTTACTACGAGGAATTCACCAGTGCCATAAGCTTACGAAGTCAAAAGATCAAAGTATACACTGGATGCAGTGCTTCTGCCACAGCTAACTACCACTACCGAAACAAACGACACCGCAATCCCTCCGACTACAGCAACCATACCGAACATAAAAGGCATGTCTGAAAACATCTCGCGCATCTTACTACCCTTCAATATCCGCGTCGCCCACAAACCCATCAGCACACTACGTCAGTTACTAACCAACGTTAAAGACAAAGACGAACCGAGGAACAGACAGGGAACGATTTATAAGATCAATTGTTCCGACTGCCAAGCCTCCTACATCGGTGAGACTGGCAGAAACCTCACAACAAGACTGACTGAACACAGACGGGCGACGAGGAAAGGTGATGTCAGCAATCACATTGCTGAACACCATCGACTTACCAACCACAACATTGACTGGGACTCTGCGCAATGCCTAACCTACAGCACTGACTATTTTCAACGACTGACTCTGGAAAGCTGGTTTACTAACTTAGAACAGACTCCCCTAAACAGATGTCAACAACTACCCGCCCCATACAAACGACTCATTCACGACATAAACATCACAAACGACCGAAAAAGAACAACCTAGCTTTACCGACAGACCGAAACAGACCAATCACGAACGACTTACGTCACTTGAGTCTTACAGCCAATAACATCACGGCAAAACCAACCGATCATTTCACACGAACTGGAATAAGAACATTCTACTGACAACAATCACTCACTTGACTCTGATGATGACTTCCGCACAGGTTGTCGAAACGTCAGTCACTGCCACCGACAACAGTCCTTCTCAGGACTACACTCACCCGGACGATCAGACTACACCTTCACATGTTACCCCCGGGTTCAAACCATTTACTGCATTACCCATGTTTGTTTCCTAAGGCCTTGTCAAATGGTAAACNCCATATTTGCATTCGGTGTATGAGAGCTCTTGCTAATTAACTAGAGGTTTGGCGAAATTTTTACATCAGCAAAACGTTAGTTAATGCACATTTTGATTTTGTTTTACTTGTTACGAAAAGTCTCCTTTAATTTGCATGACATAAGAAGTGGACAAAGCCAGATTCGTTTAGTTTTTTCCTTTTCTTTTTCTTAAGGGGTACTCATAAAGTGAGCACTGAAAAGTGTTTTGTTTTAAGAGGAGAACTTACACGTAAGTAATATTTGATAATTCTTCCTTTTTTGATTGATCTACTTTGAATTATTACATAAAGTGTCGTTGCAGTTTTGACATAATTCTCATCGGCATACTTGAGATTTAATCAATAGTAATGGCATGGTTACTATTTCAGCATGGAATGTAAACATAAGATAATTCCTTTATAACGCTATTTGAGTAAAAGGAAAAAAATATTTCAAAGCGAAAGACACGAAGTGCAATGAATTTCCAGTAATATTCTATATTATTACACCTGAGCGACGAGAACTCAATTAACGACCAATGAAATTGAATTGAAGATCAAAGATCCCTCTCTTTTAACGACTTTCTTGATGGTGGGAACTATCAAACCGGAGCCTCGTGATAAAGCTGTTAGTACTGGGATTCACCAGATGGAGCATTTTCTTTCAGGATTCATTCGAGATTCAGCTGGGCAATTAAATGCTGCAGCGAAATCCTTTGAGTTTGACATTTCTCCAACAACCCCATGAAGGGAAAAAGTGGAGGAATGACGTTATTATTCGTCCTTGCAATACTACCATCTAATACCTATCACCATAAAAATCAAATTTACAATTTCAATCACGACGACAATCAAAATTTTAATTTCAATCATGATCATGATTATGAGGAGGAGATCTGATTGGCCTTATAGATTGTATAAATAAGGTGAGGCCAGTCAACAAATCTTTCTCCGAGTTGTTAAAACTGGTTTTGTAGGGAATAGCAAATTGGACAATAAAAGCGTTGGAAATGAGACCAAACAAAGACGACCGAATACGAAGAAAACTCCGCTGTATGAAACGATTAGCATCACAAAAACACTTGGCTTCTCGAAACTAATGAAAACACCCCTGCATTGCGTCCCAAGCATTGTATATGGGGCAAAAAATTTCAGCTTTACTTGGGAGAAATAAAAGTGAGAGAAATATCTATAGAGAACGAAGAGAGGGTGCTCTTAAGATGTGTGACTTTTCTAATTTTCTACCATAGAAAGAGCGCTAAAATTGCTTGAGTTGCGGAAAATCATTCTCAGTTTGCCGTAGATTAATATCTAGATCTTACTTATTTTATAATTAATATTAATATAGTTTATATCTGACCAATTGCAGCCCAGAGGCGGGTGCAGTGTAAGGTTGCGAACAGAAGTCAGCATATCAGGCGCTTCTGGCAGCTGCTTCAGTCCATCGATCTCACCTTCCCACCCATCCCACCCCAGGGGAGGACATCCATGACACAGTAATCTCGTGTGTGGAAAATTAACGTCTCCTACCCCAACCCTGCAGGAGACGGGACCTCCATTTATTC